ATAACTGCTTCTGTGCTGCAATGGCTGAGCTGAGTAGTTGCAACAGAGAGGATGTGATCCTAAATTATAATGAACCCTGAAGTATTTACTATCTGGCCCTTTATAGAAAATGTTTGCCAAATCCAGTCTTAAAATGTTATAGGAATGTAAAAATTTTGTTCTTTATATATATAATTTTTCCTGGGAAATGTTGAGACTTCAGTACTAAAATCATAAATGTTTAAGTCTGTTGTCTTTTCACCTGAAGAGTTTGGACCATGCAGAACTATTCAATATATTTATCTGCATTGATCTCATCTCTTAATTGTGTGATGATGTGTTATTATTACTATTATTTAGGTACTAACTATCTATAATAATAGAAGGGTAATATGCTAGTTAGACCAGACGACCTTCCCAACGAAGCCAGGTCTGTGAGGGAAGCCTGGGTCCCGGGTGCCTGCTGGCAGCCGCAGGTAAGCCCAAGTCCTGGGTGCCAGAGAGAAGCCGGTGCCAGCAGCAAGGGGAAGGAAGGCCTACTCCTGCACGATTTTCATGCATTGGGCCTCTAGTCAATTATAAGTATGTAAAACATTTCATATGTGTCATCATTTTATACCTAATAATCCTATAAAGTAGGTGCTAATATTCCCATTTAAGAGAAGGCATAGAGAGGTTTAATGACTTGTCCAAGGTCACACAGCAAGTTAATGAGTGGTTAAACCTAGACTAAAAGCAGGCCTATCTGAATGTAAGTCATGTTCCTACACATTATACTACACTGCCTTCCTAGGCATGGAATCCTCCCTTCTGACCTTCCCCTTGTCTGAAGCCCTACCACACTCTCCTACTCTGACTTCAACCTGCCCAACTTCCAGCCACCACTAAAAGCATATCCACTACTCACTTCAGCAGCACATACACTAAAACTGGAACTATCCAGAGAAGATTGCATATCATCCTTGCACAGGGACCATGCTAAACTCTTGCAAAGTCCCTTTTTTTCCTGCAGATCTTGGCAAAAATAAACTCGGGAATGGTGAGCCAGAAATTAATGAAATTGATTACTTCTACCGAGTGGGGGAAATGAGTAGTGGGATAGAAGGGGTGAGAGGGTGGGGGGGAAGAGTAACACATCTCTGAATATCTTTTAACATAGTTTTGACTTTTGAATCATGTTAATATTTTACATATTCAGAAAAAAATAAGTCAACAAGAATGAGAGGAATAATTCAACCTCAATTGAGAGAACCAATTGGAATCAACAGTATTTCAAATGAATAACAATTATGGGGGCCGTGGGAGCAGGAGAAAACCAATTCCCAGAAACTTTTGAATAGAATCCTTTGATTATATACATCCATTTAGTTTAAAGACAAAAGATGCATACAAATCCTAAACTCTTCTTAATAGGCCTATTTTTCACAGTGTGAATATAGCAATTCTAAAACTATTCTGAGAAAGTATTTCAATGATTTTGAAAAGTATGGGGAAGCCTAGAAGAACTCTGCAAGACAGGAATATAATTGGAAGTATAATAATCTACAATAATAAAAGCGTAATATGCTAATTAGACCGGACACCCTTCCAGGACGAAGCTGGGGCTGCAGCCACCGTGGCTGCAAGAGAGGGGTCCAGGCATCTGCGACTGCGAGGGAGGACTGAGGCAGCTGCCTCAGCTGCAAGGGGCGGATCGAGGCAGTGAAGGCCTCTAGTAAATTTATAAATTCTAAAATGCTTGTTTTCTAACCCTGCCCCTGAAAGGACCTAGAAACAGTGGCACTCCAGCAGCAATGAATGAGTACAAGTATCCAATTCTGATTTTGAAATATCAGTCCTCACTGAAAAAACAAGAGCCCCTTACAGAAATGGTTGGTTCCAGACCTGGGGAAAGAACGTATAAGATGAAACTAGAACATCTTGTGCCAAAAGGAAGGAACTGCTCACCAAAATGACAGGAGCTATGTCAAACGGATACAGGAGCAGCTGAAGGGGCTTCCTGCAGGCCACTCTCAGAGAATTTCAGCATCAAAGTAAACAATAGTAATGGACCGTAACCCATTGAATAAAATAAGAAACCACCTGTCCGTGCTGATAATAGATAAGCCAAAAAATAAGTGAAGTGCTTTTATCATTAAGAAGGTTTTAAAGATACTCTGGTTTCTCTTCAGATCGCATAAAGAAGGTTTTAAAGAAATATATAAGGAATGATGAAATTAGAAAAACTGCCATTTTGCAACAATTATAGTAAAGACTGATTCAGGCAAAACTTACCAATAGATGCAAAATCTGTGGGGTACAAGTAAGAGAACAGGATATTTTCATAATCTCAAAGTATCTCCCTACGAATTGTTGGAAAAAATTTAACTCTGCAGTGTAGAAGACTGGCAGACACTAACTTAGACAAGTGACAAAAATTAACGTCATAAATGAGACAAACCAACACAACACACCTTCTGATGTAGTACACTGAGAAGGACACACATCACTTATCTAATTTTCCTGCCAAAAATGCGTAACTTGCTTTTCAACATGAGGAAAAATCAGAAAAGCCCAAATTGAGGGCTAGTATATAAAAGGCTGTGGAACTTTTCTAGAATAAAGATGACTAAAAAGACATGACAACTAAACGAAACCCATGATCCTATATTGGACCTATACTGGGGAAGGGGGGGGGAGCTATAGAGGAATTTATTAGGACAACTGATAAAATTGCAATATGGACACATTAGATTAGTTTTAAAGCATTTGTCACTGACAGGTTTCCTGAATTTCATAGTTGTAATATCTATACCAATAAAAGGGTAATATGCTAATTAGACCAGATGTCTTCTGGATGACCTTCCGGACATCCTTCTTGACAAAGCCGGGCCCTGGTGAAGCTGCCCTGCCCCTGGTCCTGGGTGCCTGTGGCTGTGGCCCAGGTAAAGCCACCCCAATCCCAGATTGTGAGAGGCATGTCCGACTATCAGACACCCCCCAAGGGGTCCCAGATTAGAAAGGGTGCAGGCTGGGCTGAGGGACACCCCACCCCTCTTGTGCATGAATTCCATGTACCGGGCCTCTAGTAGTCATATATAAGAGAACATCATTGTACTCAGTAACTACATTCTGAAGTATTAAGGGATAAAGAGATGACATATGCAATCCACTTTTTCAAATGGTTCAGGAAAATTACATATATGTCTATGAGTGTGCCTGTACATATAATACATGTGTGAGAGAGAGAAGAAGAAAGCAAAGGTAGTATATGGTAAAAATTGGAGATCTGAGTAAAGGGCTTTATAGGAATTCTTCATGTTCCTATTACATTCTTTCAGTAAGTTGGAAATTATCCCCCCTCAATTTTTAGAAAATCCCACCAACCATGTACATAGTATAATACTCATTTCTCTTCTAAGTTGAACTATATGTCAGCAGTTTGGTGTACGTACCACCTCTTTTTGCCATCATGTTCTCTGTCTCTACAGGGCCAGTGACTAGAGCTCTGAGGCAGGCACATGTTTGACAAGGCATTAAATAAAAAATAGAAACACAAGCTCTGAACATCAGAGGCTAAGATATAAAAAATCCACGCATGTTTGCAAAACGTCCAAGCCCTTCCCTGCTGACATTAGAAAGGCACTGCTGCATGTGCCCCATGTCCTGAGCTTCCCCCAGATAATCCCACATGACTTTCCAACTCACAGATTTTCCATTTGGTCACCCACTCAACCTTCAGCACTGTCATATCTTTTGCAGAGCTAAAAATAGCCATTCCATCAAACGGGAAGTTAAATAAGGTACTATTTACAATTAAGAAGATAACTTCCCTAAGACTATTTTTTTAATGGTGACAGTGCATCAGCAAATCCAGGATTCTGACAAAATACAGGCATGGAAGCATGCTCTATTCATGAAGTTTATCATGTATTCTTAGCTCGGTAGGAGGATTGCCAGCTCTGGAGTCAGATCTCTTGGAGTCAAATCCTGAATTTGTCCAGCTGGAAAAGTTAGAGCAAGCTACTTAAACCTCCTGGTCCTGTTTTCTACATCTGTAAAGCAGAGGTTGATAACAGTGCCCGTGGATGAATCTCAGACATTATGTTGAACAGAAGAAGCCAGGAACAGTAGAGTACATAATATATGATGCTACCTATATGATGTTCAAGAACAAGCAAAACAAACTATGGTGATAGAGGTCAGAAGAGTGGCTATCTTTGTGGGGAAGAGCTAAAAATACTGATGGGAAGGGGCACAAGGGAGCCTTCTGGGTGGTAGAAATTAAATTTTCCTTCATTTGGGTGGTGGTGACATATGAGTAAGTATATAAATATTCATCAAGCTGTACATTAAAAATTTGTTACACCTCAACAAAAAAGTAAATAAAATGAAAAACACAGTACCAACCAAATAGAACTATTATAAGGATTAAATGAGAAAACGTATGCAAAGTGCCAGGTTCACGATAAGTCAGTGTTCTTACAACTACTTATTACAATAATATAACTGTTATTTTTAAGAGATGAATCTACTTTTCTTTTTGCCACTCCTCAGTTCTTACATTTTTTTTATACCATTTCAAACTCCCTTCTCTTGCCTTTGCAGCTCCATGGTGCTCTCTTTCTATTTTGATAAAAGAATTATAACATTTAGAAAAGTTTGAAGAGCTTTTTTAAAGAAGTAAATAAGATGGCCAAAAGTACATGCACTTGGAAATAACACTAAATCAGGAAATCGCATGGAAACCATCAGATGTTAATGAACTACAGACCTAAGAGAGTTCATATGGATGAGTAGGCACCAGGGCCAGATTTTCAGTAAGTTCTAAATTCTAGAGGAAGTTTAAACTGAACAGAAGAAACTCAAGGAAAGGGTAAACAAAAAATGATGTCTTTAAAACATTTTTTAATGAAACATTACCAATCTATCCATCCCTTCTTAAAGGGCTCCCACCCTGAAGTTCTTTTCCAACTGTCTTGGACCTGGTAGATTTTCTGAAGTGTTACTCCCAGGTCACACAGGAATTTTTTCAGACTTACCTTTATGAAAGCACAGCCAGTACCATTATCTGTAATGGTGAGACCAAGTGAATCCTCAGATTTATACACGTTCACACTTTTTTTGATCCCTTTCACGTGGGCAAATATGAAATCCTCAAGACCTATTTGTGATCCTAAGAGTTTTTCCATGTCAACTTTAGGTGTGTTTAAAGTGCAATATAAGATCTGCAAGAAGAAAAAAAACATTTCAGGTCAGTTTCCATCAGAAAAACATTCTGGTCATTAATTTACTTAATAAATATTTGAATGACATAGTCCCTGATTTATGACATAAGAGGTTAGTTACATCAATAAAGTACAGGGTAGGAAATATTGTCAATAGCATGGTCAGGTGCTGGAAATTTCAAGGGAACACTTTGTAGGGTATGGGATTGTCTAACTACACCTGAAACGAATACAAAATAACATTAAATGTAAACGGTAATTGGAAAAAAAAACAATTTTGAAAAAAGGTCATATCAACAACATTAGGTACTTTTTATTGTTCCCCATAAACCAGACTCTGTGCTAGGTAAATTACATCCATTATCTGCTTTAATGCTCACAATAACTTTATAAATACATTATCATCTCCATATCACAGATGAGGAAATTGAGTCTTAGTAAGAGTAAATAATTTGCCTTAGGTCACTAAGCCAGTACTTGTCAGTCAAGATTGAGTTCAGGTCTTGCCAATTTCAAAGTGGTTTAATCTTCTGTCACCTCCCATTGACGGTGCTGAAATCAAAGGTTGTGTTCCCAAAGGTCAGGTCATGCTATCTATGCCACAATGAAAATACATGCAAGACTATTTTTAAAAACTGGTAACAAAATGCTAATGAGGAAAATTTTATAGTGCTATTCTCAAATTCGTCAACCATCCTTTGGGTAATTTGTGGGCCCAAATACAAAACTATGAATGAGGACAATGAGGATTGAAAACATGGCCTTGGTTTAGAAACAATGTACCAAACCGAAGAAGGACATTTTAACAGGACAGTTTTATACCAAAATAGCTAAATGAAAAATGTTTTTAATTTTCAGAAAAAGTGGGAGAGGGACAGAGAGAAAGAAACATCGATGTGAGTACAACATGGATCGATCGGCTGCTTCCAGCACGCCCCCCGCCAGGGATGGAGCCCACAACCTGGGCATGTGCCCTAACCCTAAATTTAACCGGCAACCTCCTGATGCATGGGATGACACTCAACCCACTGAGCCACACTGGCCAGGGCTTAACTTTTTATTAAGTAATATTTGCCACAAAATATGGTTAGTCCTTTCATCCCAGAGCCTTGCTCAAGCCTTCTCCCTATAGTTCTAAGTTTCACACCATTCCTAATTCCCACTGGAACCTTGAGCCTTAACATAGCCATAAAACTCAGAAGCCTCGTGAATCTCAGACATGGTATAAATACTACTTATTAAATTGTTTTTTAAGCCACATCAAAATGTATCTGAATAGAAACAGCTCCCGCTGCTATACAATTAAAAGTCCAGCGTGGCCTGCACAGCTCTGACCCAACTTCAGAGGGGTGTGAAAGAAGCTAGTGATGAGGACAGGGGAAGAGGCCCGCAAGGTACCAAATAAGAGCCTACAAGGAAAACTACTGCCCCCACCCTTTCTTCTTTCATCCAAGTCTATGAGCTGTGCTAACTGGTTGGCTTTTAGATTTAACCCTTTGTGTTCTCATGGAGGACATAATATATTTGACTTGGAAGTTAGTAAGTTTTTGCAAATGTTCCCTACTGTAAAAATTGTATTATTCACAGGGGAAAAAAGTCATTCAAGACAAGAATGGGTCATATTTCCTATTCTAATGGTAAAATCAATGGTTTAATTTAGTCCACTATCAAAAATCATTAATCATGGGTGGAGGGTGAAAGGAGTATGCATAGAAAACAGCTTTTCCTGGCTTCCTTTCTCAAAATGATGAGAATAAAGAAATAAACCTGGCTTTCTCCTTGTTCTTTTCCCATGAATCTGTTCATGGTATTCATAGTGGATCCAAAACACCAGTAATATAAAAGCAAATTAGCAGGTAGACAGGAAATAAAACATTAAAACATACTGATAATTTAACAGAGCGGGGGGGCAGGGGGGAGAGACCTAAAAAGGAAATCGCACACAAAATGAAATTCTAATTCGTAAGCTGCTTCCTTTCTTTCCATTTTTCACATGCTTCACTGCAGAGCAATTAGATGTAGGTATACCCCTTTTCCACTGTGCTCTCTCCCCTGCAAAATAATGTTCCATTCCAGGTAGCCAACAGTTGGCAGGGAAGGTGTCATTTTGTTCTGGAGGAAGGAGTGGAGCCAGCTATACCCTTCATGGAATGGAGCCCCACGGAAGCGGTGCTGCAGGAACTTAACGGTCCCTGGGAAGTGGAGTAAGAGCCAGCCATCAGCAGCAGCAGGTAAATAAAGCTCATGGCTTCGGATCAGCTCTTCGCGGGAGAATAAAAACCTAGCACCCACACAACCGCAATGCACAACTATCAGCAAATCTATCTGTAAGTATGTGATAAAGATCTAGAAATTCAAACACATCCTCTGTACTGTATTTTGAACTAAAAAATAAGAAAGTGAAACACCACGTTCTAAATGTTGCATTCATCTACTCACCACTTGGGGCCCCTGCCTTTGCCAGGCTCTGAGCTGCACTCTGGATGTACAAAGAGGAGTATGACCAGTCCCCATAGGCAAGGCACTGCCTGGCTGGCAGATGCTCCACTGAGGTACCATGAGGCAACATGAGCCAGTTGTCATTTATTAAAATCCATGAATATTTAAACCAAAGGAAACTCAAATACATATTGTAAACTTTCCTGCTTTCATTCATTTCCTTCCATCCAAAATCTAAAATGCCTGTCTGCCCATCAATCCCTATGCCCTTATTCATTGACACTGTTCAAATGTGACTGCCCAGGTAGAATCGATCATGCTTTCCACTTTTCTCACATCATTTAAATCTCGTAGCTCACTGCAGTGTCTGAGTCACCTTGCCTTGAAGTCCAGTTGCTGTAACACATATTTGTCACTCTCACTCTGAGAGAGATGAGAACCTGGTCATCTTCCTCTCTCCTAGAATGTCTAACAGTTCCCTGCTCAGGTTATATCCCAATGGCATTCACAGTACACATTCACTTATCTCATTGAATACAACATACCTGTGTCCTCAGTTGTATTATCCTCATTTTGTAGATGAGAAAATTATGATTTTATACAGTTTAACAGTTACAAATGCTTAATGGTAAAATATTTTTTAAATATATTTTATTGATTTTTTACAGAAAGGAAGGGAGAGAGAAAGGGATACAGAGTTAGAAACATCGATGAGAGAGAAACATCGATTCAGCTGCCTCCTGCATGCCCCCTACCAGAGATGTACCCGCAACCCAGGTACACGCCCTTGACTGGAATCGAACCCAGGACCCTTCAGTCCGCAGGCCGACGCTCCATACGCTGAGCCAAACTGGATAGGGCAATGGTAAAATATTTTTTAAAACTAACAAGAAAAAATAAAGTGAGGCATTATCAATAATAAAGTGAATCAAAAATAAAAATAAAGTGAACATTATCAATGTTCCTTTAAGAAATATTTGCTTCCAGAGTATATGTATACTAGATAAGATGTAGTACTCTCAAGGCAAGGTGTCATATAAGGAAAAATATCTATCCATTAGATAAACCTTTCTGCGGTTTTTCATTATAAACTGTAATGGTTAACATCTTCTGGGGTATCTACTGTGTATTTGGTGTTGTACCACCATCATTGCCAATATTCATAGGCGAGATGGAGTACTCATGACTGCTCAGTTTTCTAGAGCAGCAATGCCCAATAGAAGTGTCACGCAAGCCACATAATTCAATGTTCTAACAATCACATTAACAAAAGTAAATAAATGACTAATCTAAATTCCTCAATTATATAATCCCATACACCCAAAATAGAATTTCAACATATAATAAATATAAAAATTGAGATACTTTTTAAAAATTTTTTTATTGATTTCAGAGAGGAAGGTATAGAGAGAGAGAGAGAGAAACATCAATGATGAGAGAGAATCATCGATAGGCTGCCTCCTATATTCCCCCTACTGGGGATCGAGCCAACAGCCCGGGTATGTGCCCTGACCAGGAATCAAACTGTGACCTCCTGGTTCATAGATCAATGCTCAACCACTGAGCCACGCTGGCCAGGTGTATATAAAAGTGCTGTTTAAACTAGAAAGTTCTTTATAAAAGTTATTGTTATTATTCCTGGAATGCAGGTGCTTCTTGAATAATATACCTACGCTTAACAGCTTCTTAAATTGCATTACTTTTCCTAAAGATAACAGATTTTGCTGCTTTTTAATGTCACAACCAGAATAAATTTCATTTCCCCACATAAATTACATTATCCTTCAATTTTTATTGTTGTTGAAGATAATTCATAGACAGTAATCTTACCATGCCTTTATATACCAATTGCTGCTATACAGTTCTTCTCACAGAGTTATGGTTATTCATCCTTGAAACTCAATATGGCTAGGATGATAAAAGTCTGAATTAAGTTAGAGCCCATTAACATACCACAAACAGATTACAAATGTCTCAAAAACACATTTCTAAAACTCCAGGAAGTTCATTTTCAACTTTCTTTTGTTTAATGCTTTCCTTAAACAGGAACTGGGTTGGCCCAAGATTCCACATGTTCCAAAAATCTCTGGAAGAAATGATGGGTTTGTGTAGCTGGCATTGCTTATATTACATTATTTGTGGATATGATTTTAAGTATAAGCAATTGGAACAGTTACCTCTTGTGGTTATCTGAAACAGCAGTGTTACTAAATATTTTAATACTACTTTTCTACATCTCAATCTACCCCCAAGAACCTTGCTACCTTTTTACATTTTCTAAAATAAGCATTATAGAAATACCAGCCAATGTCATTATAGAAAACAAAAAAAAGGAAGTGCATAATCTACACTAATAAAAGAGAAAAATGGTAATTGGCGTACGGCGCTACCGTTTTCATTGGCTAATCAGGGCTATATGCAAATTAACTGCCAACTAAGATTGGCAGTTAACTGCCAACAAAATGGCGGTTAATTTGCATATGTAGGCACAATGCAGGGAGGCGAAAGGGAAAG